GATCCCCATTCTTCTTTTTGTCTTTTCCTAAATCCACCCCCTATACCTAGATTTTTCTCTTACTTTCACTCTCTGTACTCCCTGCATACTAGTGGCATTCCCGCCTTGCTTGGGTGAACTGCTTAAAAAAAAAAAAAAATCTACAAGCAAGCTATGTGCTACTTCAACAGCTGCATAAGAAAACAAGACCCCCCCCTGCAAAAAAATTGTTTTTCCCTTTTTTTTTTTTTTAAAGAAAAAAAGTAAATAATTTTGGTTTAATCTTGTTCACAATTAATCAAATTAACAAGTTCTGTTTTAATGAGACAAACATTTTTATATTAATTTTTTAAAAATGTTTAAATAAGTTTATTATTGCTTGATGACAGGTGACAGAAACATTATGGTAGGCTGTACCTGACAAAATATTTGCAACTGCATGCCCTGGATCCAAGTCACCCTTTGCCACTGATATATATCTGTTCCGTTTCGTATCCTAACATAAACAAAGCAATTTGTAAAGAAAGGAATTAATTTTTTTATTTGTTAATTCAACAAATTTTTATTACTTAAATGTCATTTTTAGTGGATACTTGTATTTGAGAAGACACTGTTTATTCATTAAACAGTATATTTATTTATTTTCATCTATTGGCCTCAATATTTGAGAAATCTTATTGGAATATGCGCTCTCCAGAATTGCAATTTTTTTTCTAGTGACAGGAATACATTTCCTGATAATGCCTAAACATGTCATGGTAAATTGTTTTCAAAATTGTCTTATATATTTTCCATTTTGTTAGATTCTCATTAAATTTCACCTGGGCTTATGTACAAAATGGCAGACCTGTGCATCATGGGCTTGACATGTTTAAAATGGCAGGCCCGTGATGCATGGGCCTGCATGCCTGAAGGCTCAAGTCCAGCTGTAACGGACAGAGGAAAATGGCTGAGATACCTATTTCTTATTGCAATAAACATTTCGTTGATACACATCTGTTGTTTTTTAAAGCAGTATAATTGATGTCTACAAATTCAGCAAATCTACAAAAAATAGAAAGTGATGTAAGGACGGATCTTCTCACCGGATTTATTCAACTTATACAGCAAGGTAATTTTGAGAGAATTAGAAGTGCTACCAGGATTCTTTATTGGTCACCACAACCTTAACATTAGATATGCAGATGACACACCGCTGAAGGTAACTACAAGAACTCCTGAAGACAGTAAAATAAAGCAAGAAGAAAGGACTTAAACATCAATTATAAGAAGATAGAATGTGTGGTTGTTAGCCAACGGAACAGTCTAATATGCAAATTACAAAATGAAGATACCAAAATCAAACAAGTACAACAATTTAAATATCTGGGAAGAGTCTTAACAGAGGATGGAAGGTGTGACACTGAAATCTGAAGGTGTATTGAGATAGTGAAAGATGACTTTCAAAAGCTAAGCAAAGTATTAAAAAACAGAAAAGGTTTATTAGAAACAAAGAAAAGATTGCCGAACTGTTACGTAATATCAATCCACTAATATGGCAGTGAATGCTGCACAATTTCTTCACAGATTAAGAAGAGACTTGAAGCAACAGACATGTGGTTCTACAGAAGGATGCTGAGAATACCATGAACTGAACATATGAGCAATGATGAAGTTTTAAAGAAAATGGAAGCAAAAAGACAATTATACTTATCAGAAAGAGACAGTAGGGCACATAATGAGTAAAGAGGGCTTGGAAAATCTGATACTCACAGGACAGAGGAAAACACATAACCTAGCTAATGAGTTTGTTTAAATGGATGGCAGAACAGGGTTTAGGTGAAATATCAAAAGGACAAAATTTGTTAAGAGCTACAAAGGACAGAAAATTGTGGAGAGCTATGATTGCCTACATCCTGAAGGGACATGGCACATAGAAGATCAGCCTGGGTAATCAAAAGCCATGATAAAGAAATTGCACCTTTCAGCAGGGATTGAACCTGTGTCTCTTTTACATTGTGGAAACTACCTTCAAGTTAAAACATGTTATGTCTAGTGTTAAAGTTGTGTCTGTCATATCAACGTGTGTATTCCAGAAGCTGTGAGAAAACTGTTTTCACAGACGGCTGTATGAGACAAGATTTTAACCATAAGATGGTACCGTTTTTCCCAGTCATTAGTCATCAATGAACATTTCAATCAGGTGGTCACGGACATCCAGTGAGGAGGAACAGTCATTCACCATATTGACAAAGAGTTTGGTCAGATAGAAAAAGATCAAGGAATAATGATCTGGAACTGTGAATTGTACACTGTCTGCAATGAGATGATGCCTGAGATGTTTAAAGTGAAGTTAATGACTGGAACAGATAAACGAGATTTGCAACCGCAAAAACATCAACTGTTCAGTTTGTTATTCTCGACAAAATCCTAAGAAGGGTTTGTAATGTAATCTATCTTGGCCTGGCATTTCAACATCAATCACTTTCTCACCAATGTGTCATGGCTTCTCTGTCTTTTCAACAAATATTCTCATGGTAATTTTTGGCGCCTCAACTGTACAAATTTAAGCATGCTACTAGATTGGCAACTAAGCCTCACTGTTTTACTGTTGAAATAGATGCAACTGTACATTTTATTCTAATGGTTTCTTTTTATGCACTTCTTACCTGTGGAACTCTTCAGATTTCTTGCATCCCTGCCACCTACAATCTTCAAAAATTTAAATGCAATGCCAATCACTATCTTATACCTTCCTGAATCCTGTCCTTTTATTGTCCGTTCTCCTTACTGATGTCTTCTCATTTTTTTTTTCACTTGCAGTAACTCCTTGTGTCATGGTGGCATTGCGAGACAGTTATTTAATAACTCGACAGACAACCAAGAATAGGCAAGCAACTGGAATAGACATTGGAGATGAGCGGATAAGTTTGCAGTTTGCAATGCATTGTCACAGGATCTGGACTCCTGTGTCATGTATGATCCGATTCAAAATTACCGTTGTTGGATTTTACAAGATTTGGTTCTTTTTGATGATCAGTTAAAAAAAAAAAAAAAGAGTTTGCTTTTCTTCAAAATATACACTTACACCATTTGCTTTTCCTCGGTCTTCATTAATCATAAATTTAAATGAAACATCAGTTGTCATCTTGTCTCCTTAAATGCTATTCTTTTATTGTCCTGTTTCTTTCACTCTCAGTAACCACTTGCAGCTTAGTGGCTCTTTTATCTTTTGCATGGAGTGAAATGATTAAAAACAGAAAAAGTAAATAAATAAAAGGGCTGAACTTCAATAGCTGAGAAAACCAAACTAAAATAATCTTGGTTGAAATGTAGAAATTATTTCCAAAACACAGTGAATACTCGACAAACTCATCATAGATGAAGAAACTTCAGGCAACAGAAATGTGGTTCTACAGAAGGATGCTGAAAATACCATGGACTAAAAATGTGAGTAATGATGAAGTTTTAGAGAAAATGGAAACAAAAAGAACTCTTATACTTAACATCAGGAAGAGAGAAAATTGAAACTTCTAGGGCACATGATGAGGAAAAAGAACTTGTAACACTCATAGGACATATTACAGGCAAAATGGTCAGAGGAAAGTGTTGTGGAGTAAATAAGATATCCCCGGTAACACAAATGAACTAGGCAAGACAGCTTAAATAAAGAACTCATAGTGAGTCAGAAGAGTTCCATTGAAGTCAGTTGAGACATAATATCATAACTGCTAGGAGAGAGTTATAACAGAAAGCATCAATTAACCTACCTAATGAGCTTGTATAAATGGTTGACAGAACAGAGAAAAAGAAAGATAGTGAAAAGACAAAATTTATTAAGAGCTACAAAGGACAGGAAATAGTTGAGAGCCATGACTGCCTACATCCTGAAGGGACATAGCACATAGAAGAATAATGTGATTGTGTAAATGGTTAGCAGAACAGGGATTAGGAGAAATAGTGAAAAGATAAAAATTTACTAAGGGCTACATAGGATGTAGAGAGAAGGACAAGTGGACAAAAAAAAAAATAAAAAATAAATAAAAAAATCTAACATTGGAGCTGGGCCATTTGGAAACTCAAAGACAAAATTTACAAAGAGCTACAAAGGACAGGAAAATGTGGACAGTCATGATCACCCACACCCTGAAAGGACACGGGTCACAGAGAAGGACATAGATGGAAAAGAAAAATGAAACCAAATTCCAGTGTATATTTGCATTTTAGAAGAATAATACATCTAAATATATAAAAATAATTTTGTTTGTTGTGTTTTATGGCATATCAACCTCAATGGGTTATTTAATGCTGGCAATTTTTTTTCCTGGTAATATTTTGTTTTGTCAAAAATCTATTTCTGGCAATATTTTTTTCCTCAAAAATGTATAGCTGGCAATATTATTTTAAAACATGTATAGCTGGCAATATTATTTTAAAACATGTATAGCTGGCAATATTATTTTAAAACATGTATAGCTGGCAATATTATTTTAAAACATGTATTGCTGGCAATATTATTTTAAAACATGTATTGCTGGTAATAGGTTTTTTCAAAAATATATTGCTGGTAATAGGTTTTTTCAAAAATATATTGCTGGTAATAGGTTTTTTTCTTCAAAAATTCATTTCTGGTAATAATTTTTTACAAAGTATTTCTGGTATTAAAACCTATTTTTACACTTTTATAATGCTTTTTACCTCAGTTTCAGGGTTAACTATTTGCCCATAGCTGGGACCCTAACAGGTGCTACCACCTTGGGTCAGGGTGAACCTGGGGACACCAGCAATTAAGAGGTGGTTCCACGATCCTCAAAACCTCCTGATCAGAGGCTTTGCTGTTGAACGTAGTTTATCATCTTACCCAGGACACATATGTAGTTTATTGTCATACCCAGGACGGAAAAATAATTTTATAATAAAAAACATTATTTTTAAATTTGTATCTGCTTTACTGAGGCTGGTAGCAGAAGAGCAGAAACATTCACACACAAACAAACAAAAAAAAAAAAAAAAAAAAAAAAAAAAAACTTTAAAGGCAAGGCTTACAGCCATATCATGTTGAAACACCGATTCCCATATGAGCACCAAAGTTAAGCAGTGTCAAGCCTGCTCAGTACCTAGATGGGTGACTGCTTGAAAATAGCAAGAGCTGTAAGTTTAGATGCATGTGGTGTAATGGATAATAGCTTGAAAATGGAAATCAGAGAGCCGAGTTTCAATTCCAGTCGAGTTCATTATGTTCCCTTATGCGCAAGTGCCCTTGAGAAGAATATGAATCCACCTCTTCCCCCCAGCTATGGGTTAATTAGTAAAACTTGTATCAGAAAATCATTATCTCCATAATATTCTTGCAATTAAATATATTTTCTGGCTTTAAACAACCTGACAAAAAGTTGATAAGCTGTAAAAGACAAATCAATCAATTCAAAGGCAAAGAGTTGTAGTGAATAATATTCTTTTTGTCCTGTAGATCCCCTGCCATAATCATTTCTTTCTTATTGACAGGCGAGTCCGCAGTATACAAGCAGTGGAATAAAAAGATAAAGCAAAACAAAAGGCGTTCAAGGTTAAAAACTGGTTTTGAGAAATTTATTCCAACAATGTCAAAAGTTACTGAATTACATTTATCATTGATTAACAGACACAAGGATTTGTTTTTCTTTTCTTATCAAAGAATAAAGTATGTGGTTAGAGAGTGCAGGAAAACAGAAAAAAAAAATATTCACACCCACTATTCATACAAGCAAGCACATATACTAGCAGATTTAAGTGTGTGTATCATTAATACAAGGACTTATGTTAAAGTAACTTAGGCTTACGGTCATATTATATTTGGTCAGGACTTAGATGGATGATCACTTGTGAATACCAGGTACTGTAATCTTGGATGTGTGGGTGGTGTAATGGATAAGATCTCAGGATGAGAAATGAGAGCCAAGTTCAAATTCTAGTCAGTTTTGTTATATTTACTTGTGTACACTTGGAAAATGTATGAATCCATCTCTTCTCTCACCAAACTTAAAAAAAAAAAAAAGAAGAGAGAGAGAGAGAGAGGGAGAAGACTTATTCAATCCCTGATAAATTTACTGATAAATTCCTGACAGCCAGAAAAGTGTGCAATAATTGTTGTATAGAACACATTAAACTATGTTACTTTTTCTTGACTTATACATTAATCCAGTGTCAATCCATGGCCCAGTAACTCCCATGATCTAGGATTAAAAAAAAAAAAAATCAGCTGTCCATTAGTTTGTTGAACAGTGACAAGGGCTAGCACCACAGTGTTTACAATACTCCACAGCAGCCGTCAACAGTGTTTTTGTGATATGGTCTTGCTCAGTTCTTATATAGAGCTGCATATTTACCCATTAAATTAGTAAATACATATTTTGGGGTTTTAGTCTTTTTTTTTTTCTTTAAAACTTTGTATTGCTTGAAACAATAAATACCTAGTTTGGAAGCATTAATGATGGTTTTATTTTCTGCTTAAAGTTTTGGTTGACCTTTGATTCCCACTTATGTGGCATGCATAGGATGTGCACCCTTTGACTTATTATACCAACAAAATAAGGGGGCAATTCAAGAATGAGTTATTAACAGTGAATTGTTTTCTAGTGAGCTTGATTTTATTTTGCATTATTATTTAATGATTAAAATAATCACTATATTACAGAATAAGCTTTCATTCAAATATTTTATATTTCTACCTTTCAGTTCTCTATTATACGTTTTGAAACTATATATATATATATATATATATATATATTTAACTGTCTTTTTGTTGTTTTTAATTTTTCTCTTTCATGGATGCCATGGTCTTTGGAGGCTTGTTTACAGAGCAGGTTAATGGCCTTTTAAGCTTCCTTCATGTGAATTGCAGTAAAATTTTGAATATGTAAGAATTAAATATTACGGGAGGGGTCACCAGAATTTTAGAAATACCAAAGTGGGGCATGGCCCAAAATCAGTAGGTAAGCACTGACATTATATAATTTATTCATTTAAAAATATGATTCCAATGCTACATAACAAAAATACTAAAGAACTTTGGATTATTTACCTAACGAGTTCTTTCCTATTTTCTATATATTTTTACACACACACACACACATATATATATATATATATATATGAGTTGGTAAGACTGTTTACATAGGGTTTTTTATTACTGATTTATGGCATCTGGCATCTTCTGTGGTCAGGCAGTGGCCTCGTCCCAAGGGTGCCGGATTAAATATATCAGACTGTGCCTTAAACTCATATTGCTTAATTTCATTTTTATCAATTTTCTATTGTTATTGATAATAAACTGATCTTCCTGAATTACTATAGATGACTACATGAAAACCTAATAATAATAACAGATTTTTTTTAATGCAAGGAGTAAACTAGATAGAAATAAGAGATTTTTACATGACACTGATAACAGATTATTATTTCAAGAATTTTTTTTTTTTTTTAACCTCAAGTTTAAAATTTAAATACCTTCAAAAATGAACTTTGGAAAAAAAGCAAATAAATAAAAAAAAAAAATAAAAAAAAGGGGACCAGGGATGAAAGCTCATTAGAACAGATCCAGAGCCTGCTCCCTCCTTGGCGAGACCTTCCCTAATTGACCATGTTTTCAGGAGTGTAGTCGTAATCACCATGCTAGGCCAATTGCAGGTTGGTGAGGCTATTTAACCTATATTTGGAGGTTTTGAATTCAGAATTGTCTTTTTCCTAGACCAGTCGCCAACCAAGGCTACAAGAACCAGTCTGTCCTGCTCATTGGAACAAATCCAAATTCAGCTTACTTCTTTATGGAACCCTTCCCTGACTGACCATGTCTTCAGGGTTGGAGCCATACTCACCACACTTGGCCAATTGTGGGTTAGGCTATTTAACCCATAGTTGGAGGTTTTGAATTCAGAATTGTCCTTTTCCTAGAGCAGTTGCCACCCAAGGATAGAGGACCCAGTCTGTTCTGTTATTTACTCATAACTGGTGGAGGGAGACAGATTCATACCTTTTCCAACAGTATTTTACATGTATGTGAATGTAACAAACTTGATTCAGTTCCCTGATCCCTCAATCCAAGATGCTATTCATTAATCCACTGTGCCCCCCCCACCCTGAATAAATATAAATATAATAAAAACACGAGAGAAATCATTACTTTTTTGGCTCAGGAGTTGAAAAAAATTTAAATTCGAGGCTGGTATTTGAGAATGCTATGTAATAAATCATATATAGATATCTGATGTTTGAAAAGTTTTGCCCAAGTTGAGAATCTCTAAGATAAACATTCATGAAGATGGCCTAGAGAAGTGTAAATTTAGCATCTAAGCCTTCCCAAATTAAAAATTACAGCAACCCGATTGAAAGACCAAGGAGGATAAATATGACAAACTTATGGTTGGGTTAAATATCAAATCTCTATACACTAATATATCTGATGATGAATGCTTAATCTCTTCAAAGAAAAAATCTAGTGTGGCAAAGCAAATTGTCACATTTGGCAGTGAGGAAGGGTACCTGATGGGTAATGTGAAAGACAACAGGCAGGGGAACATGGTGGGGGTTTGGCAATGGGAGAGATTTTGAGAAAGAATGTGATGGTGCAGAGAGAAAGAACAGGAGGGGGGAACTGATAGGGGAACGGGAGAGATGATAGGAGTGTGAACCTGATAAAGGAACAGGAGAGATGACAGGAGAGGGAACCTGATGGGGGAATGGGAGATATGACAAAGGGGGATGATGGAAGCAATGAGAGAGAGAACCAGAAGGGGGCAATGGGAGAAATGATGGGAGGTGAGAGTAATGGGAGAAACAACAAGAGGAGAATGTGACAAAGCCACAAGAGAGATCATGCGAGTGGTAACCTGATGGAGGAACAGGAGAGATGGCAGAATGGAAAACCTGAAGCAGGAACAAGAGAGATGACTGTGGGGAACCTGATTGGAGGATAGGAGAGACGAAACCTGATAGGACAACAAGAGAGATGATGGGAGTGGGAGCCTGATAGGGGGACACAAGAAATGACAGCGGGAGGGATAACGAGAGTGGTTACCAGACATAGAACCTGAAGGGGAACAGGAGAGATGACCAGCAGAGGGGGCGGGGTGCTTGACAGAGGAACGGGAGGGTTGGTGGGTGAAGACAGAGAAAGAGGTGTGATTGTGGGTAGATGGAACATGATGGGGAGGGGAGGATAGATGACAGGAAGCTGATGAGGGCAGGGGAACAGGAGAGATGACATGACTGGGAAATGAGAGAGGGGACAAGGAACATGAGAGAGAGAGAGAGAGAGAACAAGAAACCTGGTGCAAAATGATGGAACCTTTTTGCCAATTTTCCAAAGATTTTAACATGTTCTACTCCTGTTAAAGTTATACAAATAAAATTGTACTTAGCAACCAAGAGAGGTTTATAAAATCTACTTCTGACAAATTTGTATGGCTTTTGACTTATTCCAAGCATTAAATGAATAAAAATTATAATTAACTATCTTAGTTTTTAGCCAAGTTTCTAAAAAATATTTAGAATTAAAATTCTTATTCTTTTAAATGAGCAATCTTGGTTCATCTATATAATAAATGTGAATGTCAGTGTGTCACACTTTTTCAATTAAAGGGGCACAACTTTCAATAGCTCATAGTACAGAAATGTTGGATTTCCGAGTTTTTATTACTGCGATAGTTTTTGTCGATTTTTTAATGTGATTTTTTGTGACAAGTTTTTTTTGTACAAGAATTTTTATAACTTGGAAATAAATTTGGGAATAATTAAAATTAACTGCAAAATCCAACAAAAGTCACCCATGAAATAAAAATAATTGTTTGCGTGGAAAGAAAGGACCTATACACATCAAATTGTCTTTAAATTATGTGGCGGACGAATAATTATCATTGAACTTTTAAAGTTATTAAAGCAATACTTAAATACAGCAATCAATTTTGAGTTCTTCTGTAGTTTATTGTTGCCTATCACATACAGCAGCAGTATGCCTTGCAAAAAGAAATCTCTGTCAACAGAGGACCAGATTGCAATCAAGAGCCAAATTTGCAGTGAGGAAAAGAAAGTCCCATGCAAATGAAAACCCAGATCAAATGGCAGCCAGGAGAGATTCCAATGCTGAGAATATGCAAAGACTCCTGAACAAGCTGAAGGACCAATCAAGAGCCCTCTACAGGAGCTGGTTGAAGTGCCACCCTATCAAGTGCCTTTTAAGCTAGTTTATATAATGAATATATTAAGAATAAGTTGCAGTTTAAAGAAGTTAATTGTTACGCGTGTTTGTCTAAATGCTTTTGTGGCTCAGAGTATCAAATTTAATTTTTTGATGGTTAAAAACACGCAGCAATACAAGTGATTTACTGTCATAACATTTCCTGAAATTCTTCTGGCTAAATGAAGACAGAAACAAAGATTCAGTTCCAAACCAATCTATTTCTATAGGAGGCGAAAAGAACTTGTTTTTTGCAGAGTAGAACAGACTGGCAATGTAATTAGTACTATCTCAAATTTCAAGCACACAAAAAAAAGTTATTAAAGTGTCTGGTCAACAGAAAAGAAACACACACACACAAAAATAAAACAAATACAAAAATTCTATCCCAGTTTGAGAAACAAAACAAAGATTGTTTTGAGAAAAGAAAAACAAAATTTAATCTTTACGCTGGTCAAGGAACCGTCCAGAGAAAGATAAGAACTTTAAGCAAGGAACATTTTTTTATGATATGGAACTCCTGTAAAAGCAACATAAAAACAAAACAATAGACTTGTGTTTTGCACTAATTAAAAAAAAAGATAACTGATATTTACCCTCAAGAGAATGTATGTTTAGGTATACAAGGATTTATAAATGGTAGTTAGTTATATTATAACTCTCTCTCTCTCTCTATATATATAGAGATATATATATATATATATATATATATATATATATGTGTGTGTGTGTGTGTGTGTTTGTTATAATGTTTTATAGACATTATGAATTTAAGTGCAGTACTAGATCTCATCAGCAAGGTTCAATCATGTTACCGTTGAAATTGTTAGATATAACTGTAAATTCTATGTAAACCGTTTCTTCTCTCGCACTTCTTGCTTGTGAAACTGTTCCAGCTTCTTGCTTTCCAGTCAACATTTGATCTTCAAAAATTTAAATGCAATGTCAATCGTTATCTTGTCTTATTAATTCCTATTCTTTTATTATCTCTCTCTCTTTTATGTTTTTCTTTTTCTCATATTCTTTCAGACTCAGTAACCCTTTAGTGTCTGAGTGGCTTTATTACCTTGACTGGGGTGAAATGGTTTAAAAAAGTATTTGGTAATTTCATTTTTTCTAAGAAAAAGTCTATGTAACAGTGAAAATATTGTTTAAATTTTATTACTTTCTTTAAATTTTTATTAATTTCTTGCAGCTCTCAAATATTTTTTTATCATTTAAACCAAGCAAGGCAATAAAGCCACTAAGACTGTGAGAAAGAATATAAAAAAAAACATTATTAAGGAGAGAGAACAATAAAAAGAAGAGATATTTGTGATTAATTGTGTGTGGCATGAATAAGTAAGTTTGGCCAACCTGACTAAGCCGTCCTGGGTATGACGATAAACTACATCCACGTCCTGGGTAAGACAATAAACTACATCCAACAGCAAGGCCTCTGATCAGGAGGTTTTGAGGAGCGTGGAACCACCTCTTAATTGCTGGTGTTCCCAGGTCCACCCTGACCTGGGGTAGTAGCACCTGTTAGAGTCCCAGCTATGGGCAAATAGTTGACACCCAAACTTGTGTAAAAATATGTTTTAATACCAGAAATACTTTGTAATAAAAAAAATATTACCAGCAATAATTTTTGAAGGGAAAATTATTATCAGCAATACTTTAAAAAAAAAAAAAGTACTAGCAATAACAACAGTTATGCATTCTTTGAAAAAAAGAATATGACCAGCTATAGATTTCTTCAAGGAAAATATTCCCAGAAATAGATCTTTGAAGAAAAACATTAGTAGCAATAAAAATTTTGTTGGCATTAAATAACCCATTGAGGTTGATGTGCCATAAAGAAACTAAACCTAACTATAAGCTAACAAAATCTGAATAAAAAAGACAAAGAAAAATTGGAGTAAGCAAAAAGTAACCATTCCTTATAACTAACAAAATTAATAAAAGATATTGAATTCTATTTTCAGATTTCTAGACTGAATTCAAGTAGAAAAATAAAAATAATATAAAACATCCTTATTGATAAACTCGTTCCACTGGTAGATCTAGATTAGCTTAAAAACAAAAATATGAAAGCTTATTTAAGTAGAGAAGAAGAAAAAAATCTCCTACATTAAAGTAGTAACAAAAATGGACATGTTGTTGCCATAAGTAACATACAAATAAAGATATTTGACAACAACAAAAGAAAGTGTTTATTTAGCAAAAATACATTTGCTTGTGACACAAGGCTGAAGGGAGAGGGGAAGGGAAGAGGCTGGTCATCATTAACTATTCCTAGCTAGTTTCAATTCACGACCCATTCATCCTAACAATTGACACAATCACCACAAGAACTCATCCCTCTCCATTCACTTCGAATGTGTACCAAAATAGGGCATTTTCACAGGGAACCTCATAATAAACCCATGATGGCAAGAAAGTCAAAAGAAGTTAAAATATTCAGATTTTACTAATGCACAAATAGAAAGAATTTTTAGAGTCAAGACAAGGCAAAACAATATCTATCATTCAACACTTTGCAAAGATAGCATTTGTTTTTAAAATATTCATTTCATGTGTGAACTTTTACTGATTAAAAAGGATTCAAATGATTTGAAAGAACTGCATATTTTTACAAGTGGTTTGAGAGTGTGGAAATACCAGGATTTCCTATGGCAATTTTCAAAGCGCGTCGTCTGTTATATAAGAATAAAGTGTCGCTGCTGACACTTGAGTTTGAACATAGATCACCAGTGAGCAAACACAGGCAATCCCTTTTATTGAATTAAGTAGACCACTTGACCCTAGAGGAAACGCATATATGGAAGGTAGCGTGTGTTTAGTTGATCTCTATTTCTAGTCTATCCTCTATACTATACAGATTGCATTTCTATTCTATCCTCTATTACTATACAGACTACTATTCTCTACTCTGTTCAGATCACTATACAGGTTACTTTTCTAGCAAGTATTATGGAGCAAGTACTATTAGTGCGAGATTATTCAAAGGCATCTGATGCCAGTATTGTTCAACAGTATACTATAGTTGTATCCGCAATTACAATGTCTACTACAAGCATTACAAAAGTGACAATGAGTAATTGTTGGCATCACAAAAGTGTCAAATGAGTGTTGACATCACAAAACTGTCCTTTCCAAAATTGGAAGATCGACACAGTTCCACAACCATTTTCTCTTCAGTTGACATTGACCTGGGTATCATGCTTCCCTCGGGGCTTGAATGTTTGACACAGTTTTACCTACCCACACAATTTCCCTACCATACTAAGTTAATCTAAAAGCATGAAGATGCTATAATTAACACAAATATATCACACAAGGAGTTAGGATAAAAACCTCCAATATTAAACATGGGTTTTGTAAATTTTGTTTTACAAAGCAGAATGTGAATGACAAATTGGTGATGCCAAAATCAAGCAAACATAAAACTTTAAATATTGGGGAATTATTTCAACAGTGGATAGAAAATGCAACACCAAAATATGAAAGTGCATTAGGATAGTGAAAGATGCCTTCCAAAAGCTAAGCAAAGTATTAAGAAACAGGAAAATACTGTTAGAAAACAAAGAAGTGTGTGTTCCAGATAATGTCTGTGAATAAAAGAAAAAGCAATTTGTTGCTAAAATAGAGAGGCCAGAGTTCAAGAGAACAGAAATGAAGTTCTACAGAAGGATACTGAGAATACCATGGACATGTGAGCAATGACAAACAAAAACAAAAAGTGCACTTAGTATCAGAAAAAAGTAGTTGAAATATGAGGAAAGAGGGTTTAGAAAATTTGATACTAACAAGATATATTAAAAGGCAAGAAGTACAAAAAAGCAGTGCATAATCTACCTAACAAGCTTGTGTAAATGGTTGGCAGAATAAGGATCAAGAGAGATAGCAAAAACACAAACTTTATTAAGAGCTATAAAGGACAGGATGTTGTGGAGAGCCGTTTGGTTTGTTTTGTAGCATGTCAACCCCAATGGGTTACTTAATGCCAACAAATTTTTATTACTGGTAATATTTTTATCTTCAAAAATTTATTGCTAGTAATAATTTTTTACAAAGTATTTTTGGTATTAAAACCTATTTTTACACTTA